AAACAGTCCACAGGGAAGACAGTTTTCTTTGTCGTTGTTCATTCAGCCATTATATCCAAAGATGACAATCAGACAATATGACGACCAAAAACAAAATATAAATCTTTGATTAAAAACACAAGTAGATTCGAAGGGATGGTTTTAGTAATTAACCCAATCTTAATTTCTGCCGGCCACAGCTTGTACAACTGTTGTTCGATTTAACTACCTTGACTTCAGGAGCTTATTAGACTAAATACCCCTTATGAGTTTCTGACTAAGTACAAAGAACAGACTTGATTGCTCTTTCTCTTTTTGTTTACATTTCTATAGAATAGCTGCCATCAGTGGTGGCCGTTTTCAATTGCGAACTATTAATAGACTAACTAAAGCATCCAAAAAAAGAGCTATTGAAGTAATGTCAAATAACAAGTCAACCATATTAAATACCGTGGTTATGAGTACCATTTTCACTAGCACTCATAACTCCTACAAGTGGTTGAAATATTTCTTTAATCGACAAAAAACATCATTTTCATACCAATCATAATTTTCTCACTAACCAACTCAAATATTTACAACTAAGAAACTCCCCGGTGTCTTCTATGGGGTGGAAATGATGCTATTAGGGAGATTAAGATGTCGACGACGCTGACGGCAACGAAAACGTCAAAAACGCAATGGGCTTAGATTAGCAAAACAACAACTTTGCCAAGTGTAGCACTTCTTTGTGCATTTCTTTGTTGGCACTGCACCTCTACGACTTGAAATTGCCAAATTTCACCCCCACATCGACAAAGCAAAAAACCGACGACAACTTTCTCTTTTGTTCAGTTTGTTGAACTTGAATATATTTATTACGAATTCAACTCCTGGAGGGCTCGTCTTAATTTGACTGAGGCCTCGTCTACACTTATTTTTTTTCTCCGTTTTCGAACAAAAATACGCGTATTCGCGTAGCGTATTCGAACCGTTTTCGCCCATCCTTACTTTCTCAAAGCCGGCGCCGTTTCCGGTTTCCTCTGGTTAAACGCTAAAGCGGTGGAGATGCGATAGTATGATAGCATCCTTTACACAGCATATGCTGTATGATGAATGAGATCATCGTATTTATGACCTCCGTTTTCGTCCATCTATGCAAAAACGATAAGCCAGCATTTTCAAAAAAAATTACCATTTGAACATAGCCATAATTAGTGCACCTTGTTTGTCCCCCCCCGCCCCTTCAAATTTTGCAGAATCATTGATTCCACTTTTCATGGGTTGACAGTCAACTAGACTTTCCCTTGCCCCCACTATCTGCCCCTAAGTCTCCAAGGGTTGGGTTAACAAGGTGTATTAGAGTCTTTGTGAAGGGTTAGGAACACCAATATGGCGGATGTGATGTCAATTGAAAACACTCTTTACAAACGGTTGATGTGCTCTGAGTAGTTATGCAAAACTATTGTGCGGCTGAGTTCACAAAGTTCAGTAGCGTCCTTGAACATTTCCTTAGTGTGCCGCCTAATCTACGAGGAATTGTCCACAAAAGAAAAGAAATTGCTCGTGGAAAGTGTTTCTACACTTTTATCGGCAAAGCGACAAAATGGACGTTCAAATTTCTACGGAATACAAATTCATGAGAAATGCCGCATGGTTTGTCTTCGATATTCACCAATTTTACATAGACCATAATGCACCTTGTTTACTTCCCAAAATTTTGCATAACTATTATCTTCGATTTCTCTTGGGACGACTGTAATACCCAGGAGAAATTGGCAACAATGCAGAATTTTAGGGGGTAAACAATGTGCATTATGGTCTATGTGAAAATGGTAAATACTGGGATCTCGAATTTCTTTGCTTACTTTAAGTTCCATAACGATTGAGGGAGGGTAAATGGCAAAATTAAACAAAATGAACTGGACTGCCGCGACACAGCCCCTTTCATGTGCCAACCAGAAGCAAAGGGGTCATGTGCCGCTGAACAGGGTAGGGTAAATACATGAGACCGGGACGAACTCGAACCGGTATGAGTTCGTATCGCTCTCCATATATACCGGTGCATTTCTTTTCATGCGTTTACATGGGACCGGAAAAAACGAACTCAGAGTGGTCTGACTTCGTGTCGGTCGCTGACCCGGCACGAGTTATTTTCGTACAGGTCCGACACTGTACCGTTCTCATGTAAAACGGAAACGAATCTCAGACCGGGTCCATAAATAGCATGTTTCTTCGTATGGCTCCATCATTTTTGCTTTTTTTAGCAAAATAAGAACACTGCTTTAAATAACTGTAAACAAGACTTGGAAGTAGCTTTAATTGAATATATGCTTCGAGGTGAGGGATTAATGTTAATGTGAGGGATTGCACCATTTTGAGATGCTGTGCATTTAACATGCCCCCAGATGAGCGTTAGATAAAAATTACAAATTCAGTTCTAGAGGCAGTAAAAACCAGTTAGGATAGTTAGTGAATAATATGTCAAATGCTAAATGCTAATAATAGTTCTATGAATGGTGACCAATACATGCTAAAATGGAAATGACATTTAAGAAATTTAAGAATAATACAAGAATATTTTCAGCCTCAAATCGGTAGAAAAATAAGAATATTCAGCATGAGTAGCACTGGGCCGGAAAAAAATAACAGTTTTATAAAAAGAAAGAGTGTAAACTGGGTTTGTGTTCTCCACACTTTGTCCCAGACTCCCAAAGGACGCCTGACTGATTTTAACATGAAAATGTAAAGCAAAAAGTTTTCATTGCAAGAGTGTGACAATATGCGGAAAGCACTGTAATGCCTTTGCAAGATATTTGCGATGTTATTGCTGCCCATTGTGTCTTGAAAACACCTTCAAACTTCAAAGGTTACTGGAATTTGTCCACCTGAAACAATCCGTCTTTCGACTGGGGCTCGAGTCACACTTGGCACTTGTTCTCCTCTTCCTAAATCAAAGGAACATGAAAGAAGAACACGAAGACACACCCTGCTGCATATTTTAGTAATCAGACATTTTGAACAGCTGTTATGCAGGTGGTTATAAGGATTACACCTCACTATAAATACAACAGACAATAGACGAGGATCGGAGAGCTCTTTTTGGCTTTACAAGTGTAATAATATACTGGTTGGGTGTCTTGTGATTGTTGCCCCCTACCTAATGCCATCTTGCTGGAGTTTTAACTCCAGCAGTCTTACAAGATGTAAGCTCACTACTAATGCATCATGAGCTTAAAAACTGCAGGACATCTAGCCAATGGGTTACACAAGGATCCTCATTTACCATTTTGATAATTCTATGGTATTAACCTTTTGTTAGTATGACTTTTCATTTAGGTAATTGCTAATTATCCTTTTGACTAGTCAAAAGTGTGTAGGTAGTATATTTATATTTCTATCTTGAAAATTTGTAATGTTTTGGCTTATTTCTGGATGACATCCTTTCCTTTTAGTGAATGTGTTAATTCATGCATATTTTCCCTATCCCCCTGGTCTTATATTCATGCAATTCTTTTTTTTTTTTTTTTTTTTTTTTTCATAAAAAAATTTACCTGGTAACGTCTTATTAAATATAGCTATTACTTCACTGTTTATGTCTTAATAAAGATTGGGACTAGCGTACATTGAGACTAACCAGACTAACCACAATTTTGAAGGAAAAAGATGGGAGACACCAGGCACAAGATATGTAAGTTACATTTTTATAGAGAATTTAGAGAATACTAAGCCATTTAATAATTAACAATTATTCCTCGTGCCCGAATGGGCTATTGACTCAGAGGCCGTGAGGGCGAGAGGAATAATTGTTTCAGTAAAATCCAACTAGTTGGTCAAAAATATAGAGACAAAAAAACTTTAGCAAGTTAAAGCTAGACTTTAATCCTTTTTACCGCCAAAACGTCGGTGCTTTTCGCTACTAGTGGGCTATTACATATAGCCTAGTAGTAGCTCAACCAATCAGAACTCAGCATTGATAATGGAACACTAGTTAAATTTTACTAAACTGGTATATCCCTCGATGACTTGAAAAAAAAAATTGTGGCACATACATTCTGGAAAGCAAAATGCAACATCTATTTTTGATATAGGATGTATCTGCAAGCTGGCAAGATAAAGCGAATCCTTTGTTTTTATTGGCCGCTCTGGTATGATGAGCCCATTTTGCCTCCTGTGTCCTGCAAAAAAACATTTAGTTTTGGTCATATAATAATGAATCCGTTGTTAACCAAGCTTGTTCAGTCAAGAAGGCAGGATATTGTCCTCAATGGTTTTTGTTTTTGTTCATGGCCTCGTAAAATTATGTTATGCGTTCTCATATTATTGTAATTTTTGCCACACTCTTGCAACATGTTGTAATTTTTGTAAATTCCATAGTTGTAACCTGTCTTGAACATATCTCTCACTATGGCACTGAAAAGGTCAAGACCCCTTTCCACAGGATTAATCACTCAGAATCCAGTGAATAAATATTAGAAGTACCAATATTACTGAGTTATCTTATCATGATTTGGAGTAGAGATTTCTCCAAAAAAACTTAATTTAATTCCCCTCGAAGCACTTAGGACTTAATTCTTAGTAGCTCATTCAAATGTGTCCTTGTGTTCCAGATCACAATTGAATTTAAATGTAAATTTGAATTTGAGGAGAGGGCAAAACCGGAGTACCTGGAGAAAAACCTCTGGGAGCAAGAGAGAAAACCAAACTCAACCTATATGTAGCATTGGGACACTGGGATTTGAACCCATGTCACATTAGTGGGAGGCAAATGCTCTCACCACAGTGAGCAAATGAAAGTAATAACGGTTTTATTGAGAAAACAAACCAACAGAAACAGAACAAAGAGTTTGATTCGCCATTATCATAATACTTTATTTGCACGTTCTGCTTGCATTTTAAATTAGGTACATATGGCCAAATATTATAGGCAGTTGTTAATCTACAATGACATATGTCAACCTTAATTTGTTATTGTTAAACCTCAACGGACTCTGCAAATCAACTTATTAATTTATTGTGCATAACCGAAAGATTGCAGAAAACCTTACTATTTCACTAAAACGTGAAGAATTTCGAGTAATTTTTGCATCTTGTATAAAGCAAATCAAGGGCGCGCCCACTATTCCTCTCTTTCCCATGATATTTCACGCTTCTCTGGTCTCTAGACAGTTTCCTCGTCCGCTCGATTTCCCGAGGTGCCCGGGTAGGGAGGTGGGTATATTTTCTAATACAAAAATACGTTTATAAGCAATGCTGACTAAGCTGAAAACAAATTAAAAATAACTCCTCTATTCGAACTATAGTGTTCGATCATAGTTCTTGGATTACAGTCATAAAATGTGACTGGCTATAAAAGCCACGGCGTACTTCAAATGTTAGAAGCAACGTGACTGGCCTAAAGAAATTTTGTGGTGGTTAGTTTCTTTAACTTAGCTCAAGTGTCACTACCAGCTTTTCATGGTTGAGGCTAAAAACGCTAGCAAAAACATCAAGGAAGAGCGTAGTCAGGCTTCGTAACCATTTGACTCTAATAACCATGCTGAGATCTTTTAGTAAAATTCTTCTTCCGAAACACTAACATCATTATCATGGGCAGACTGGTCAGTGCAAACACCACTGATGTTATCTTTTGGCTCCAAATGCTCTTCCAAACTTGGTACTATCGATGTGCCATTATTTACGGACATCTCCATAATGTCTTGCGTGACAACATGTATCCTTTGAGTCACCATAGACCCTGTTTCAAGAGAAAACCAATATACTTTTGTAAAGAGGTATGGTTAGTTTCCTTGACGCCACAAGTATTTGCTTTAGAAGTTTTGTCGTATTTAAATCAAGAGTATGATGGTAATGATAATGATGATGATGATGATGATGATGATGATGATGATGATGATGATGATGATGATAGGGAGCTTAAGCAACTACGAAGACGACGAAAACGTGAAAAAAAAACAATTGTTTTTATGACTGAGAAAAAAAACTGCTGTGCACGTGCATTACGCTTTTTAGTACATTTTTTTGATGTCCGCTGCACGACTACGACGTGAAACCTCCCAATGCGACGTTTTATGAAAAACGTGGTCATATGACGACAAATTTTCCTTTCTCTATTTGAACATGGATAAAGCCCTTAAGAATTCAACTCCAAGAAAAGTCGCCTACATTTGACGAATTGAGAAGGTGCAAATAGATGCGACAAAAGTTTGAAAGGACACAAATTCATTTTTTTAGTGATGTTTTCACTGCCGTCGTCGTTGTTGTTGCTTAAGCTCCCTGATGATGATGATGACGACGACGACGATGACGATGTTGAGGATGATAATGATAATGATAATGATGTTGGTGAAGACCATGATGATGATGATGAAATAATGATGATGATGATGATGATGATAAGGATGGTGATAACGAGTCAATGGCAAGCCTCCATGAGCATTCTTACGCCAAAAACCCAAAATAATAATGATCAGCCTTTCGTCAAATGTCAAGTGATACCATTGAAAGTTGTATTTGGATAAGAACTGAAACACGTAGCTTATCCATTGTTAGTAGTTCACAATGATAATACATAGATTAAGCCAGGGCTAAAAGCGAAGCTCTCGATAATATTTATAGTTTGCTCAAACAAAATATAAAATCGTGTAATGCTAAACGGCGAAGGCAACGAGAATGGTGAAAAACAACAATAGGTCTAATTAGCAAAAAAGCAACTTTGCACGTGTAACATACTTTTTGTACATTTCTATTCCGTTGTTTTGCACGACTACAATGTGAAAATTTCAGAAACTTCCCAGTTACACGTTCTATGGAGGAAATTTCGTACGTGTAATCGTTCACCGTTTTTTCACTGCGGCACATTTTTACCTAATGATGGCCGATGATGTGATGGCCACATTTTGTCGCATTTTTCATTTTCTCACCACCTCTGCAAAATTTTCATTTTGTTCTTTCAATAAAGAAATGCCTCCTTTTTTTCGCTGGCCTGTCGCCTACGTTCTCTTTTTCTCTGTCTTTCTCTATATTCCAAATTTGTGAACATAAAAAATTAATCTAAGCTTAATACTTTAGACAACACGGATACAGAAACAATTTCTGCTTTCAGTTTTCGTATTTATTGACTCTTTAGTTGTCTCTGTGGGTGGCTATGCGATTCCCCGCCAAAATAACCTCGAGTTGCATTTTGGTTGCTAAACCCGTTGATTGAGTTATTTTACATTGGTATGCCTGTGGTGCGGACGAGCAGTCGGTCGGTCGGTCGGTCGGTCGGACGTACGGCCACGTGATTTTCAGATGGATAGATTACCACATTTTCTTAGTTATGGGGCTACGCTCGCGCGCGTGGAGCTCCTCTAAAACGTAACTTACCATTTCGGTGATATCGCCGACGGCAAACGACACACGTAGCAGCCACGATGAGTAAAACAATCAATACCACTCCAATCAAAATAGTGTTACCTGTCAGGAACTTTGACCTGGTTTTCAAATTTGAGGATTCGTTCCCGCTAGACTGAAATAACTTGGTAGTAAACTTAGCGAAACCGTGGTTTTCATAACCACCATCTTCATCAAACGAACGCTGAAAAACTGCATAATCTGTGTTGCTCTTGAGCTTTCCATTCAGGTACTTGGGAAAAGCTAAAAGGAAACAAAGTGAGAATTTTACTGTGTTTATTGACTAGTAAGTTGAGAGACAAATTCGAATTAAATGGGATATAGCTGCACCCATCTTAATTTTTTTATCAGTTTTTTTATTTGCAAGAGAGTCCAGAAAAAAGAATTTCAACTACATGTCATGTCATGATATAATGGTCAATAACTGTTGTGATGGCCATTAAAACATTACAAATTTGCGTTGTATTTGCCGACTTTCTTCTACCAAACTTTTATCAGCTTAGTTAGGCATTTATTCACACAAAACATTACCGCTCCAAAAGCTTATTTTAAGGCTGCTGCCCAACGTTTAGTTTGGTGCATTTACAAGGATCTTTGAAAAAAATGTTTAGTGATGGCTCGATTGTGTCCAAGTTACTCTCTTTTAACCCTTTTACTGCGAAGAAAGCGAAGAAATGGCAACAGGGGAAGCCCAGTTATATAAACTACAACTATGCACTACAATTCAAGAAGCTATTTGCTATGATAAGACAAGGTAGAGGCTTCTATGAGTTATGATCATTCCAAAATACTCTGATACGGCAAGAGCCATGGAGACGCTGCCACCACCCCGCCCCGTACCACGCAACGGCACGGGAACAATTTTTACACATTGTTAATTTTGTCTGGTGTTAGCTCACTTGATGTATCTTTTCGTTTTCGTTTAGCTTCAGTGATAGAAGATCTTGAATAGTTCTTCCCATCTCCGACAATGAATACCGTTCTTGACTCATCTCTTACAAACTCGGCTGTGATGTATGGCTTGCCTTTTACTTGGTCCTCGTATGTTCGATTAATTATTTCATACGCTCTATTTGCAGAACTTCCTGGATCTTGACCCTCATTTAGTTGTAGTACGATCATTTGAAAGTAACTGCATACAAACAGGAAAAATGTGTTACGTTTACTTACTTTCATTGAACAACGTCATCATTAATTGAAAAGTCCTTCTACCTGTGCCAGAAACTTTATACGAAGAAGAAGCCACTCTTCTCTTAAAAAAACTAAAGCATTTCACTAAGAAAAAACTGACAAAATTTCTAAGAATCCGGCTCAGGATCTGGCAGGTGCACCCAACTTTCTGCCTAAGTTGAAAAACATTCTGGGAGTGTGTTTGCCATCGTTCTCTAAAGTGGCCCGCCTCGATTAGCTTCGTTGTTTGCGGGTGAGTAAGTAGTATAAACTACCTAAATTTCAAAATTGATTTGTGATTCTGAAATCTGATGTCCTTCCACGGCTTTCGTTAGAAAATTATTAAATGGTTCTTAATGTTGTTGTTATAACTTGACACTAACTTGTTCACTACATTATCAGGCATCATTCACTACATTATCATTGATTTATATACATAGTTAGCGATACATCGCTATAGGTGAAGCAAAAGGTAAATCCAGTACATTTACTATAAAATAACAATCGGCTATACACAAACAGATTGTGTTGTGTGGGCTCCCTGTGATTTTAGGTTCTTTTGGAGGTGAAGTGAAGAGTAAACTCTTAGGAGAAGAGGGCTTCAATTTGTATCTTAAGTCGTGATACCGGAACCGCAAAGTGGTATCAATAACCTCACAGTCTTTTTTATTCGTAACTGAGAATTTCTCGATTCACAGGCCCAATGTAAGACATTCGTGATTTTAAAGAAATGAACTTGTCTGAAGTTCTGACTTCATTTCATACCTAACCTTTTTCAAAATTCTAAACTGGCACGAGACCCGAAAAGCTAGTATACAAAACATCCAGATTCCCTTCAAACTACATGATGCTATGACGTAAAATTTCGAAAATAAGCACCGGGGCTCATATTTTTCAAAAGCCCTTTTGGAGGGGCTTATTTTTGGAGGGGCTTATCTACGGAGGGAAATTTGCGTTTCAAAATCGATTGAGCAAGCCTTTGTATAGTTGGAAGTAAATTTATCGTTTTTGCTTTGTTTGACTTTGTATTTGAGGGCATTTTTCCAAGTACAACCCCCCCCGGGGGGGGGCTTTTATTTGGAGGGGTGTTTTAAAGGAGGGTTTTTTGCGTTACCGGTCTGGGGGGCTTATATTTGGAGGGGCTCAAGGGGCCTATTTTCGCAATTTTACGGTATCATTGGTCGCAAATGAGAAAACTTAAAAACAAGGATCTTTTTGCACTTACCTGATTGGATTTCCATTACTTAAGGTTTTGTTGTTTATAAACTCCACAATTACCAACGTCTCCCGAATGTTTCTCTCTAGAATGGGAGGAGGCTTGGGTGGGTCTGCAAAAGAGGCGACAACTTTTTTAACGGATACGGTGGTCAGCTGCTTGTTAAAGCATTTCAGAACAAGAAAAAATAGAAGTAGCGTTAGTCGGTCGAGAAACCAACTATCACGGGAAATTATCGGCCCTCAAACTGTGCAGAATAAATTTGACTGCCTTGTTTTCGATATGCTGTTTATCAAGGAACTTACATCATTGCTAGACGCGGAATCAAACTTGTCTTGCGCGCATTTTTTTACGTTGGCACCCTTTTGTAAAATCAAGCACATATGAGTGCTTTATAATTACTCTTTTAAAAGCTTTAACACTTCGTAATTTTTTTTTTATATATATATGACTTACAATGACGCTGAGTACATCGAAACATCGACTAATGTTACTTCTAAATAAATTGTGAATATGCGTTCTAATGAGAAAAAGCTGCTTAATTTGTCAATTCCTCTTACACAGGGAAAAAATAATTTAGGGTTGGTTGGCAAAACAGTTGATAGATGGTGATAATTGGTTGACGCGCCATCAACTTCCTACTTTTCTGCAGTCTCTTGAAGGAGAACTTTAAAACCAAGCAAACCATTCAAGGGAAGTTTGGGACAAGTGTTCCTTCGAGGACTTCAAATCATGACCGTTCATTTTGCTACCGTTTAAGACAAGAAGCTTTACTTCTCACTCAGATTTATTTTGTTTTGCTTACAGAACTAAGTAATTATTTAAGCTAATATTATGGAATTAGACCTAAAAATATAACCTGTTCAAGACGCTAAACAGTGACGCTTTTCCCCCTGTTTAAGCCTCAAGCCCTGACAACCATACTTTGTCCAGCGGCACATACCAGTCTCGGCAAAACAAGAGAGTGATTCCCCCCAGGCCCCTGCTGGTCAAAAGATGGATAACACTATCCACTAAATAAATCTCTATCCAAAGGATAGTGCGATTGCTTTCCCTTATATTTATCCGCTGGATAGTGACTTTACCCGATGGTTAGCTCCATCCAGCTTTTAAACGACTGGGGCCAGGGGCCCATTTCTCGAAAGTCCCGGTAACTTTTCGGGTCCGAAATCACATATTCAAATCGAAATAAAAAGAATTAAAGCGCGGTTCCTGGCTAGGAAACCACTCCATTTTGTTTCATTAACTGATAGTTTTATAATGTTAGATGTAAAACTATTGAATCCTCTACCCTCTATGTAAACCAAAACAGCTTTACGGGCCCCAGGTGTAGAATGAGAAAGATAGCCTCAACTCACCGCTTTTAAGCCAATTAGAAAACAGGATCCGCTTCATCTTATCGCTTAAGCAGGCACATACATGTATTTAGAAGTAGCTTGTCTTCACTTTTTTCCGGCTTACCTTCTGTCTTTGCCATCAAAACGTCACTGGGAGGACTGTTTCCTTTCGATGTTGCGGCAAAAATCCAAAATGAATACTCAGCAGATTGCCTGAGTCCATTTACTATGATACTTACGGCAGAAGGTGGTGAGTAATTTTTTAACTCTTTCCCGGTGTACTCGTTTTTGTACACTATGGTGTACTTTATAATGACGCCATGTCTAAACCTCTCGGGAACAGGATCCCATTCCAACTGAACGATGGTACTGCTCAGAACTTTCACTTTGGGTTTTGTAACTGATTGGGCTGGCTCTGAGAGGTTACAAATATGTTTGTCAGCAGAAATACAAATCATAATTGACAAAAAAGGATCACAATAATTTTGATTCTGAATTAACGAACAAGGGAAGCCAATTGGTTAAGAGTAAGATCTATTGAACATGGGATGTGCCAGCAACGTTCAATTGAAAAATTAAGCGTACAGGGTAAAACTTAGGCTCGATTTCCAGCCGTTTCTTCCCACGCCCCTTCGGACGCCATAGAAAGAATGAAGATCGAGCCTCAGCGAATCAATTTTCCTTTATCTTGTTAAAGCTGAAAACGCTTCCTTCATTATCTTAAGTCAAAAGACACCAAGAATCAAGAACCATGAATCAAATCACTGCTTCTCGTAATTTAAACTAAGCATGGGAGGTACCAAATGTTCTGTCACGTTTACGCACATAAATCAAAGGAGTGGAGAGGCTCGTAGAGAGGGCTTTAATAAGATTATTTCCTGGTCAGTTATTCAGCACTGTCATTCTTGCCCGATTTATGTGTGCTGATAAGCGATAACTTAAGCATACGTCTCCACCCCTGGAAATCGTACCTCTTTGGTTCATTTTTATCTTCATCACTCTTCACAGTCAAGGTAAATAAGATGATGCCGTATCTTCTCTATTAATTAGGATTCTTGGTGGAGATGTTCATTTTTTAAAGAAAATTGTTCTTTCATATTTTTTTTTGATTCTACTTAGTAATATGTAATACGATAAGCAAGTTTTTAAGCTGATTCGCATTCAAATGGCAACGCACGTTTCTAATTACATGTACAGGCAGATTGACGCCATCAAGTAATGACTTCGAACGGACATGTGAAAAGGAATATGAACTTAATTATTTATCATTCGTAAATGTTAACCTCAACAAAAAAATGTGTCACTCCTCTTGACAACTTACTATCTTCGTCTGTCATGACTATGATAGGCTGGCTGGCATTTCCATCTCCCTTCAAATTAGAGGCATACACTGTTATGGAGTACTTCCTGTATTTCGTCAAACC